TAAATAAAACTACAAAAATCAATTAGAATCATAAACCTAGTACTGTCAGACTTTCTCTCTGTAGCTCTGGATGTCTTGGAACTCACTCTGTAGACCAGGCTGCCCTGGAACTCACAGAGATCCGCCTGCCTCTGCCTCCCAAGTGCTGGGATTAAGGGTGTGCACCACCACTTCCCGGCTATATTTCCTGTGTGTTTTTTACACATCTAGTAATGTCACATCAAATACTGAAGGCTGGAAGTTAGTTTTGGCTGGAGTTAGTTGGACTTTGCTCTGGTGGACTGATAAACTACTTATAGAGATATCAGCATGATCCGCTAAGGCCCATTTTCCATTTATTAGCATGGGGCCAGATTGCATCACTCCAAGCATTGCAGTCCTAGCAGATGATCCAGTGGTGTAGGCAGCTACTGTGGATTCTCTAATTCTAGCTATCTAGAGTTTTAGTTGTCTCCTGCCCACTCTAAGTACTTGGTTTATAATTCTCTGTCTCTGTCTCTCTCTCTCTCTGTCTGTCTCTCTGTCTCTGTCTCTGTCTCTCTCTGTCTGTCTCTCTCTCTCTCTCTGTCTCTCTGTCTCTGTCTCTGTCTCTCTCTCATTGTGAGTTTCACCTTCCTTATTCATAGTCTGGTACTCAAAAAGAGACCGTATTCAGAGTTCTGGAGTTCTTTTTCATTCTGTACTCTTCTCCACAAATTCCACCCTCTGTGTCTGCCAGCATGGACATGCATCTCTAAGTAAATGTGCATCCAAATCCTGTAATGAGGTTGAGACAGTTTTCTTTATTAGTTTTCAGGAAAGGCGATTTATGAAAATAATTATAGTTGAATAATCCATTTAAAGGTTCCCTTCTGTTAAAAGTGCCAAAACAGAGCAATGCCCATGCTGTGTCGATGGGAATTACATGTTTTCTAATTTCATAACTGATGGCTCATTTCCTCCAGGAAAACACGCACAAGGAAAAGTTGGCAGAATGGTGAGTTGTTTTATGGAAATAAGGCTATTAGTACTAATTTAATGGACACAATCCATTAACTTCTGGACAATATTGATGAAGGAGAAGAGAAAGAAACAAACCAGCAAAGAATCAGCAATTACCAGTCTATGCTCTCGACCTTGGAACTGGATGACCAGAACGGCTAGAACATGCATTAAATCCCAGCACCAAAAGTTCCATTCTAGCAAAGCAGGAGATGACAAAACACATTTGCTTGACTAATTGAGGCTACAGACTAAATGGCATCCTCATCTTGGCTAGATGATGTCAACCCAGACATTACAGAAGCATGCCACTGTACATGGCTTATTATGTGGTGCTGGGGATTGACCTCAGGACAGCATGCTTATGTGGTGAGCACTTTGCTGAGCATCTCTAGCCCCTTATTCAGGAGATGGACAGACAGGCAGGCAGGTAGACAGAACAGAGACAGACAGACAGATGACAGAGAGGAAGACATGGGGTCCAGCCTGTCTACTACTCAGTGCTGCACATACAAGGTTGGCTGGGCCATGAGCTTCCAGGCATTCATTCCCATCTTCATCTCTAATCACGCCTATGGAGCATGGGGGATTATAGATGTGTTCACTATGGTTCCTGGATTTCTATGGGCCATGGTGATCTGAACTCATGCCCTCATATTAGGTATGGCAAATGTTCTATGCACTGACTATTGGCTGGTTTTGTGTCAACTTGATATAGGCTAGAGTCATCTGAGAGGAGGAAGCTCCAGTTGAGAAAATGCTTCCAGAAGATTGGCCTGTAGGCAAGCCATTCTTCATTGACAATTGATGTGGGAGGGCCCAGCCCATTGTGGGTGTTGCCACCTCTGGGCTGGTGGTCCTGAGTTCTAGAAGAAAGCAGGCTGAGCAAGCCTTGAGGAGTAAGTCAGTAAGCAGCATCCTCCATGGCCTCTGCACCAGTTCCTGCCTCCAGGCTCCCACCCTGTTTGAGTTCCTGTCCTGACTTCCTTCCCATGATAGACTATGGATATAGAAGCGTAACCCAAATAAGCCCTTTCCTCCCCAGCTTGCTTTTGATCACGGTGTTTCATCACAGCAGTAGTAACCCAACAAGGACACTGACCCATTTCCCCAACCCTTGTTCTGGATTTTAATAGTCAGTTTACTTCCCTGTTTTTACAATTTTCCTTAGCCAAACCCGAGAGATTGGAGTGTTTGAAAATACAGCTTAAGCATCCTATTAGCAAGTATGAGATTGATATGTGAATCATGATGGTTTAACTGAGTTTCTTTAGGAGGCTCTCCTAGGAAAATGGGCATTCAAGAGGCTTCTGTCCTTTTATCTTGGTCTCTTTCACTGTTGGAAAATTCAGTAGAGATCTCGGGGTACATGTGCATCTGTATGTGTCTGGCAGAAAGTGAGTCTTGTAGGATAATTATAACCCCACTCAGTCATATGCTTCAGGTGTTCCTCTGACTACTACTAAAATGATTGTTTCAAGAATTATTTTACGGACTTAATCACCAAATGAGCCATTATCATCTGTGTTACAACCTGAGTTCAATTCCTGGGACTCATATAGGGGAAGGAGAGAATTTATTCCTATGTCATCCTTGGACCTCCATGCTCACAAGTGCAAGTACCCACACTCACACTGACACTATATCTATCTGTCTGTCTGTCTGCTGCCAGTTCTGACTCTAGACTACTAAGTCAAGTGAGACTTGGGAATGCTAGACAGAACACTGCTCACAAACCAACCATCTCAGTTCCATGTAGTTTATGAATATCTTGGAATTGTTCAAATTGTGCCTGTTGACCCATAAAACTTACACTTCCAATGTGTTTTCCTGTTGTGTACATTCCTCAAGATTCCCTCAAGAGGCACGTGTCACAGATGCAGTCATGCTTTCCATCTCCCTTCAGGGTCTGCTTTCATCCGAAGACCCATAAAAGGGATGCAGGTTGCAGTGAGAAGCTCCTGGACTCTGGGCCTCAGAGTGCTTGCTGAATTTCCACTTTCTCTGTATCACACGAGACACCCTGACAAAGTCTACAGGTAACTTGAAGAACCCAAAACACATGAAGATGGAATTTAAGAAATACCGTTGTCTATATCAATTAGTCTTAGATCCTATTACTAAATACTGGAAGCCATTTTTAATTAACATAATATCGCACACCTAATGGCTTCTTTGGTTCTAGATCTGATTATTATCTACCTGTCAATATTTTGATGCAATTCATAGGCAGCTGAACTGCTTTAGGCTACTGGAATTATCTGATTCTTTCTATGTCTCTGAAACCCATTGTTCTCCAGGCACCGCTTGGTGGGCCCAGGGATGGTGAGCCCTTTACTAAGTCAATGCAGCATATAGTAGTTTGATTCACATTTCTCTTTTTATTAGTAAAGTGCACTTTATAGGTCATTAGTTCCTTGACTACCAGGCAAGAGACCCACTCCTAATGATGATCATTCTTCATTTCTGTCCAAAGATGAGGAAGAAACAAAGGGATGTGTAGTAAGGATACTGGGACCCTTGCGAGAAAGGTAACTAGTGCTTGAGCTAAACAATTGAAGCTGACAACGAGAAGAGACAGGCTCTCAGAATAGCAACTGCTCAAGATGCTTTTGACTTGGGAACTGAGGGGATAAAAATACAGGGGATTCTAGTTTACAGCTTTCCGAAGACTCAAAGAGATCTAGTGGAAAGATTCTTAGTCTAAAGAGCCCACAAATCCAGACAGCAGCCTTACCTGTACCAAACAGTAAACCACAGAGTCATCTGTGCAAATCAACTAAATTCACTGAGCCTTCAATGCTTCATCTAGGACACTAGGATAAATTCAATACCCTCATGGATTGCTCTGAGTTCCAAAAGTCATAATGTGAGACGCATCAAAGTGCACTGTTTAAGTACAGTTATGTAACACTGGGCATCATCAAGGAAAAGAGTTTAGTATTCACTCTTCCAACACATTATCAGCCACATCCATGATTTACAGTAAGCATGCTAAGCTCTGTAAAGGATACGCATTTGAAGTGAATCCTTAGAGAAAAGTATTTCCTTTGTTACTAATGTGCAGACTTTGTCCTTTTGCTTTGCTGCACCTAGATTTCACAATTTTTTCCTCACAGGTTTTGAAAATCAAATGTAGGAAACATTAGGAGAACTGAACACTTGCAGGAAGGGTGACTCTGTTACTAGGAGATAGTTCTCACTGGTACTTCAGTTCATTTTCTGGTTTTCCTTCTAGTGCTTTGAATGCTCTCAGTATGGTGGAAGCCAATCCCTTTGGTGGTAAATTCATCAGTTCTTATTTGTGACTTTTTCTTTAATTCCTGAAGAAATATCCCATGCTTTGCTTTTAAATTTTATTCTATATGTTTGGGTGTTTTGCCTGCTTGTATGCCTGTGTATCATGTGTGTACCTGGTGCATACAGAGGTCAGAAGAGGGCATCCAATGCCCTGAACCTGAGTTATAGTCAGCTGTGGGCCTCCACGTGGCGGTTGGGAGTCTAAACCAGGTCCTCTGCAAGAGCAATCAGAGCTTTTAACCACTGAACTGTCTCTCCAGCCTCTGTTTGTGGCTTTAGAACAAGTATGTATCATAAGAAAGACAGACAGACAGACAGACAGAAAGAAAGAGCAAGTATTTCTGAAGATAAACCCAGTAGGATTCATCCATGTGTTTTGACTTATTTAATTCAGTGTTTATTGAAAACACAGATTGGTAAAAATTGTTTGAATATATGTGCATATATATAAATATATTATAAAATGAATGTTATATATTGGTACAAGGTGTTTTTTGAAAATATTGACCCTAAGATGAATTTTTAAAAATTAAAAGCTTTAGTACCCGGAAGGCATTAAGAGTGTGAAGCATGTTGAATTAAATTTAGGTCCTGTATAACAAATGAGGGTTGGAAGTCCACATCAGGATGGGAATGGGTTAATGGTATCGAAGGAGTGGGCGGTATTGAGTTGCTGGAGGTGTCATAGAGGGCCATCATTCTTCAGCCTAAGCCGGTGTGGCCTGGGAGTGAGCGTCTGGCGTAGAGCAGCACACAAGACCACTAAGAAAGAAGAGATCAAAACGCCCCAGGAGAGATTTCTAACTTAGGAATATAAGGAAGAGAGGGAGAGACAAAGCGCTGAAGAAGCGAAGCTGGTGAGAAGTGAGGGCCAGTGCCCAGGGGCCAGCGGGTGAAGGTGCGAGGGTGGGGTAGGCTCGTACAATGCAGAGACTTAGCAGGAAGAGAGGATGTGGCTCTGGGAGGGGCAATGGTGAGCAAGGATGCCGCTTCCATTTCTTGGTCAGCTATGGCAATGAGGTACAAAGCCGTGAGAGCTGCCGGGAAAGTGCTAACGTCATGGGAGAGCTGGGTGAAAGGAATACCTGTAGAAGAGGCTGAATGTACTAGAAGCACTGCTGCTGCTGAAGAGTGGATTGGGAATCGGAGAGGTGTGGTCAGGAGGAAAGAGACCGGGAAACGGGGGGCTTTTGGGAGTAAGTATGAGTTGTCCCACTAGGACAAGAGTTTCTACAGTAACTTACAATGAAAAGAAAGTAAAACCTTCCAGGGTGGCTGGTTAGCTTGAATACAGCCTCTGTTATGTCTATACATTTCACTAAGTGCTTTTTCAACATTGTCTCTCCAAATATTAACACATGCTATTCTTAACACCAAATACATACTAAATGCATTTATTGCTCCCAGGATGTTATACTATTGTCTGCTTTTGCCTGGCACTATGCTTTTATAGAAGATGGAAATCCGCTATACGGTGATGCTTTGGTCTGACATCCCCATGGGACGATCAGCTTCCCTAAGCAGGACTTGATCCTCTCTGATGGCCCCACTGAGTTATGAAACTTAGAGGTAGACATCATCATGGATTTAAGAAAACGCGGCCTGGTCCTGTTTGATGACCAGTTGACAACTCTGCTTCCAGAAAGAGCAGACAAAGACAAGTCCCAGTGTTAGGTGGCCTGCCAAGTGACTAGACTGAAATCAAACTTGCCATCAGCTCCTTTCCACTACAAATAACAGCACTCTGTGACCTTCAGAGGTTGAACTTCAACGTGGAATAGACTTGATAGATCAGAGTATTATCTAGAACTGTAAACTTGAAGGATAATTCTAAGGGGGCTCAGCCATTGAGAGAAAGAAAATGAAAGGCAAACGCGTCAGAAGGAGGCGGGGGTCCATGGGGACCTGGGCTTAGTTGGACATACTTGGAATTACAGTCACACACCTCACGGCCACGCGGAAAGGTTTCTGATACTGCTCTCACTTCCTAAAACGAGGCTGGTGTGGCTGGTGATGGCATGTGATCGATCACTGTAAGGATACGGGGCTGCCAAGCGAGAGTGAAGGCACCATTCACACTCACATACACGCGACCATTGGTGAGGATTAAAGTTTGGTCCACCCGTTACCATGGACACACTTTAAAACAGAAGCGGGGCTTTGCTTGTTTGTCTTTTTCTTCTAGCAAAGATGGAATGGAGTTAGGGAAAAGTGACCCTTTCCTTTATTTTTGTTAAATTAGTTAGCGGCTTTTTTCCCCCTTTCTTTTTTTTTTTTTTTGAGACAGGATGTTCTACGTCTCAGGCTTGACCTTGTTTTCACCATACAGTCAAAGATAATCTTAAATTCCTGATGCTCCAGTTTCCACTTCTCAAGCAGAGATTACAGCCACCCCCAGCAATGTTTCTGTATTTCAGTATTTGTTACTCATTAACTTACATCGATATGCTTTGGATATCTTTAATTCTTGTTCAAAGATTTAACAAGAGATATTTGGACTCAGTTTTAAATACACTTGGGTCAAAACCAAGTTCAAATAAAGTATAAGTTTGGCTTAATTGGAATTATTTTTCTACTTTGATAAGAATAACTGAAGTAAAGTATTGTCTAGGATTTATTCAGGTGGGGGAAGAGAAGAAAATTGTTGCATGTGTTTTACAGGAAGCCAGAGCTCTGCCTGTACCAAGCTCCCCTCCTGCTAGCATCTAAGTGGATTGGTATGTGACATTTGCTTTGTTATTTGTTGTTAGAAGGTTTCCCTGGATAGTCCATCCTGGCCTTGAATTTGCTATGTGCCCAGGGCTGGCGCTGAGCCAGTGGTCTCCCTGTCCCATCCTCCTGAGTGCTGAGACTACAGCCACCATGCCCAGTTTGGAAGTTAGTCTTGAACCTCCTGCACTGCATTTCAAAGTACGAGTCCATTCTACTGCATATTCTGTCAGTTGCCATATTGTAAAAGTGGTGGCAGGCAGATGATGACCCAAGTGAATGTGTGAGGTGTGACTTAAGTCCTGAGTGAATGTGTATTGCAGACAGGAGCATACAGGGCCAGGTGGAGGACCCTAGGGGGTCAGATCCATGGGAATAGCAAAGCATGCAGGAGCTCAGAAGGATGGGAAAGACTTCCTCTGGTCAGAATGTCAATGTAGATACTGTCTGCAGAAACGATCAACCACTACTTCCTTCTCAGGATGATGACAGCAGCCTGAGACTGCTCCCCTAGAGAGACCTCCTATCAAGATAAACACACTTGTTCAACTGTATTCCATAAGCTCATATCCTCAATTCAGATGTATAGAACAAATGTGCTGAGTTTCTGCATTGCTCTATGTGTTTGGTGACCCTCAGGAAAGTGAGCACAGTTTGCATGACCCAAGCTTTTATGTGCGTGTGTCTAACCTCTCCTCATTCCCTTATGGTCCCAATGGCAGATGTGCTTTGCACTAGGTCGAATATTTACTTCCTAAAATGGAACAGGGCACAGGCTTACCCAAAGCCACTTCCTGTATTGGCTACTAGTGGTAACTTCCGGTGAATTTGCAGGGAGCCTGGTAGTAAGACAGCGGATTCATTATCTAGCACTCCTACCATGCATGGAGGTGTCTTTCTCTAGACTTAAAGGCATTTGCTCTTTTACACCCTTCTGCAATGGGAAGTGATAAGCCTTAGATAATCCTTATCACTTAGCTCCTTGATAAGTCCTAAGGGCCAGGCCCCAGGCTACATTGGGAAAGGGGCTAATGGGACACAGTAAGAGAACTCTGATGGCTCATACTTTGTTCTGTCTCCCCAGCACCTCCGCGGTAGGAATAACATGAAAGTCAAAACAACTGCACGTGTACACAATCAAGAATACCCAGATAGGCCTGCCCTACTGTCGCCGTACTCCCAGAGATGGGCCGTGGGCTGAAAAGGAGTACTCTGAGGTCAGAACTCCCACAACCTTTCATCTGACCTGTCTTTTATTCTTAATGACCTCCACTGTAAGTCTTCCACATTATAACCTCCTTCCATTTTTAGTTTGGATGGGAGTGCCTTCAGATGAAAAGTAATGCCCTCAGTTCTTAATGCTCAGATCAAAGGGAAAGGGAATGGCAAACAGATGATTTAGCTTCTTGGGTTAGAAGAGTCTCCGTATGTCAATCTGGTCGGTCACTTTTTTTTCTGGTTTTTACGAGACAGGGTTTCTCTGTATTGTTTTGGAGGCTGTCGGTCCAGCCTGGCCTCGAACTCACAGAGATCCGCTTGCCTCTGCCTCCCGAATGCTGGGATTAAAGGCGTGCGCCACCACCGCCTGGCTGGTCAGTCACTTTTTAGAGAAAAGAAAAACAAGGATGCTGAATCTTCCTTTCTATGACTTGCAACTAGACGCCCCCTGCCCAATATAAATAACACCGATGCAGGATGCAAGACACACATACTTGCGTCACAGACACTATCAGAATGCATCAAGTACGTGATGAAAGCAGATAAAAAAGAAACCCTGGCCTTTATTAGAAGTGTCCCAACATACTTCAATGGATGCTACTGAAGGCCATGTCACATCTAAAATATCACAGATGGAGATGGCCACTTGGTACTCCCACAGGCCCCTCTATGCATGTTCAAGATTCCAATAGACTGACAGCTGGCCTAAGTGGATGGATCCTAAAATATTTTTTTCCAGACTATGACTTTCTTCCAAATGCTAATATTTGCAAACTCCAAAGCTCAGTGGTGCCCTCTTGATACAGAGTAAGACTATGGAAACACGAGGCCGCCTGTTCTCATTGTATCTGTGTCTTGTGTTTTCTGAAAATACTTATTTTCAGATCCTCCGGATACATACACAAGGGCTGACACTTCATGGCCTGTCAGCCAGAACATTGTGTCTCATTGTGAATACAATGAGATTGTGTTATTAGAAATCATTTTGAAAATGTGATACAGCCATCCCAGAATTTCTATATTTCATGAAACAAAGAATGTGGCAGCTGTGTTTAGAATTCCTTCCAAATATACATCTGTCACTCTGGTTATTCTCTTCCAGTTTTATTAATTGAAAACCAGTCACAAGACATAGAAAGACAATGTGTGGGATAATGGCTTCTTGTTAGAGGGCCAGTGACTTCTGTTTAACAGAAGATCATTTAAGGAGTAATGAATCTCAAATGTCACATTATCATTATGATCTCTAGCAAAGAGTCTTCTGTTTGTATTCCTTTGCCTTTGCAGTTTGTTTAAAACAGACCATAAAATATTAGCACCGATTGACCAAGGGTGTGGTAAGATAGCTGAATTTCCCCGAGCTTTGGCAGAAGGCAGGGGAGGGTGGAGACTGCTGCTCTGAGCCCATGCCTTCTGCCACAACCCGCTGCCTCTCCCAGGACAGCGGAGCCACACATCCGTCCACGTGCTCTGCTGTCCTTCTCTCCTAGCAACCATGTTATGCTAAAGAGCCATGGCTGGGGTTGCCAGGATATTCTTCTATTCTTGTCCTCCACAACCAGACCCAAAGCAAAAGAGCAAAAGCAGGCAAGAGGCGAAGACACAGGTAGCGGGACTCATAACAGCAAAGTGACTTTTCATTAGGAAGAAACGAATTCAGCAAATAATGTTCTTGTTGCTGCTTTCGAATGCTTCCTTTTCTTTTAAAAATCAGACAGACCAATGGTAAAGAAGATGAACTACAAAAAAATCACCACTATTAAACATTGTAAGACAAAATTCACCATTTAGAAGCCACTTTTCCCAGTAGAGAAAGAAAAGCAAATGTCTTGCAATTGTCAGCATGACCCAAAAGGTTCTGAACTATAATTACTGTCTTGATCCACATACAAAAATCTCTGAAGTAGATACTACACACTGTAGAAGCAAAGATAGCATCAATGATCAAGGGTGTACTTTTGACATGTTAAAGTATATGAAAAATATGCATCTTTAAAAGGATGGGTGGTGGTGGTGCACACCTTTAATCCCAGCATCCAGGAGACAGAGGCAGGCAGATCTCTGTGAGTTTGAGGCCATTCTCATCTACAGAGCAAGTTTCAGGACAGCCTGGGATACACAGAAACCCTGACCCAAAGAAAAAAAAAAGTGTTCAATCATGGCTTATTACCTCATTTGATATCATAATGAATTCTGCATTTAAATGCCCTCTGGTTTATAGAAAGGCCCATGTAAGCTCCTTAGATGCATGTAGCCAAAAAGAAGTTGAGACAGAACTCAGATCCTTATCTGTTTTACACTTATATCCAACTCCATTATGCCATGTCACCTCAGTTCCTTACACAGGTAATAGACAAAAGCAGCCACCTTACATGCCTGCAGAAGTTCAGGCTGATGGTGTTGTTCGCCATACTCTTGGCGATTCAGTAGTTGTCTTTGTACTGCTTTTACAAATGAGAAAAACTGGTCCAAGAATGACTAGATGACTCACCCAAGGTCATGCAATTAGAAAGGGACAGAGCCAGGAACGAAGCCCAAGATAAAGGACTCTTCATCCAGAGCATGTTTGACTCAGGTCAGACATTAACCAACTATCAGATCTGATATTGGATCATGGGCATAAAGATAATTCAAAGAGCATGATATTTGGATACATAAGAAGGCCTGGTGCACATGTCCATGGGATTTATTGATTTATTCAATAAATATTTATTGAATGACTCTGTTTTGGTACCTGGGATACAGTGGTGAGTAAGAGGAAAAAAGAAGCACATAGGACTTTTGAATTGTGTGGATACAAAGTACATGTATGTCTGAAGTGGGGTAACAGTTTTAAATAAGTGGGAAGCATCCCTGAAAATGGGATGTTTGTCCATTGAGGTAAGAAGGTAAGCCATATGGGTATCTCTGGGAAGAACACTGTGGGGAGCAGAAAGAGAATGGGTAAGCTGAGGATGTCCTGGCCCTATACAAAAGAGGGAAGAGATTGTGTGGGAGGGGCAGTGAGTAGGAGTGCTGATAATGGTGAGTATTTAAGGTTAAGATTGAGGGTATTGAAGAGAGACTGCATAAGGGCTTTGGAAACCAAGATTAGGATTGGTGTTTACTCAGGGATGAAAGGTAATCCCAGGCCAAGCATCCTCATAAAATGTAGTAACCACAGTACTATCCATTCTGTCCTAGGATCCCAACAGGGTCACATCATCAGTCTAATTTGATCTTCAGTTATCTGGGATGCAGATGTTGTTTCTTCCATTTTGTTACTGTGTTATGAAGGAAGGTCTGTCTTCGACACTGACTGGAACCTTCTTAGTAAAATGGCTAGCTAATAAAAATGCTGAACATGGTAAGAAAAGTCTACCCCAACCTCAACAACAACAACAAAACAGACTTAGCCCCCTTTACCAGCAGGCGAGCTTATAACATGAAATCATGTAGGTCTCTACCAACTGTCCATTTGTGGAAGAGTGCGCACAGGGTTATGATTATGCTGAGGGCAGCTAGAGACAGTGCTATTGGACATGGTACCTGAAGGGAACTTTGACGGTAACACGTAAGGTGAGTGTTTCCAAGTTGGTAACTATAGGTAAGATATTCTGTACATGGGGGCTAGAGAGATGTCTTAGCAATTGCAAACCTCATTGCTCCTACAGAGGACTCAAGTTCGGTTCCTAGTACTTACATGGTGGCTCACAACCATCCATAATGCCAGTCCCAGGTGTGTGACATACTCTTATGACTCCTGAAGGCACCAGGCATGCACATGTGGGTTTTTTTATATATTTTATTCATATGTAAAATAAAAATAAATCTTTTAAAAATAGATGTTCAGAATTCCAACTGACACTGGCCTTAGTGGCTATAATACTTTACTGTGTGGGGACTGTTAAGTCTCCTACCTGGAGCTGTAGCTCCTGTCGGAACTCTGCTCTTTAGGTCCCAGGATAAAATATCTTAGGAGTTTAGTCCTTGTCCACTGATGTCATGCGCTCTCCAGCTGAGTGCTGTGGTGAGGCATGAAGCGTTGAAAGCAAGTTTAACAGCCTTTATCTGACTTTCATTTCATCTATTTTTAATTTTGTGTTTAGGCTAAATTCTATAATGCGTGCTATCCTTTAAAAAATAATTCTGTGCACAACATAAAAAGTCTACATGTTTGGAGAATGTAATGGACTCAACAGAATGGGGGTGATTCTGGGAGGAGATGGGGAGGGGATAAATCTGAACAAAATACAATGTATAAAATCAACGGAGTTAATAAAACATTTTTAAAGTCTATATTCTATTTTCTGTTGTATCAGGTGTTATTATCACCACGTTTCATTTCTATCCAAATTTCACATGACAGTTTGGAAAACCAACCTTTAAAAAAGTCTTGGCTCTAAGAAAGCTGTCACTCGCTCTGTTTAGCCTTGAGTAATTGCCAGGCAATGGTGAAGTGCTTGCGGTACCCTCTCCACACCCGTCATTTCCAAACAAACAGAATACCAACCAGGGCATTAGCTATTGCTCCACATCTTCCTGGAATTCATTCGGATTCATTCCCTCCGTTTCCCTTGACAACAATCAAATCCCTAGCAGCTCTCAATAACCCGCCATGTCTCGCTTCAGTGTTGTCTTTGGAAACAAAACAATCCTGTTCTTCTGTGCGTGTCATTAGGAACCAGAAGAGAAGGAAAATCAGGTAAGAGTAAGTTCAGATTGCTCTGGATTATTTTTGGTAAAAATTGTTGTTTCAGTAGCTGGAAACTTAAATGCATGCCAGTTATAAAGGATTCTGAAAACTACCTGCAACCATCCTCCAAAGAAGAAAATACCGTGTTCTTGATGAACTGCCCCTTCACCTACTTTATCCTACCATGTTTCTGGGCATTATACGGCCTGGTTCTGTAATTTCACCAAGAGTTTAGATGACACAGAATTAAATCCCTATCCAAATGCCTACACTCGCAATACAAGAATATATTCCTTTTGTGGAATATATTCTTTTGTGGGTTTTTTTTCCTTACTTCTGTTGAATAGGATCTTCATTTCCTGATGCATTACAGAATTCTTTATCAGTTAAATTATGCTCTAAATTTTCTGGAATGCTCCTCGAAGCCTAGAGCACTTGGAACCAGGCTTGGCAGGCAAATGCAAGAACAGTTAAGGGATGAAGTTAAAACAAGAAGTTCATTCCTGGGAAATTCCTGAAGGGAAGTCAGACTTCTAGTCTGAGAAAAAAAAGAGCTCGCTTCTCCCCCTTGTGCCCAGAATGCTGGATGCCACCA